CGACGTTAAGAAAAATCGGTTTAAATCGCTCTACAGCTTCAATCCTAACAAACGCTATCGGCGAATCAATATGTGTACAACAGTAGTATTGTATACAATATAATTCCTGACTCCTATACATTCCTGTACGCTATTTATTCAAGTATCTAAAACTTTACAAACCCGCACGTGACTATGTCACGAAGGTGCCGGACTAGCCGTACCTTCGATCGATAAATTAAGGTCATTAGGCGAAATATAAATTGTTTATCTAATTTGATCGCTCGCAAGTGCGAACGATAGAATGCCGAGAGATCGCAAGATATATCAATATCTGAACACTTCACTTATATCGTACTGGTATCTGACTATTCATTCAATTTCGATAAGAGCTGTGTGCGCAATAAGAGTGGCTTACCGCTTGGTAACGTGAATAGGTAGATCGTTGTTACTTTCATCTACGAAAATAATTGCGAATGTATAAGGTAAGGTCGAAAATCGCTTTTTCCGAACAATTTATGCTATATATCGATATTAATAGAGCGTGCGTATACGCGGTAGAAGATAAATACCCGACTAGAGTTAACGGTAATTTGTCACTCTCGTATTTACATCCATGGTAAAACGCGGTTAACTGTATCTGAGGCTGAGAAGATGCAACACTACGGTAAAATAGATGCTTCAATTTCAATCGCGTATGGTATGCGTATCCCTGATCGTTTTGCCTCATCTCGCACTTGCAATCACGGTGTTATTCTCCTATTTGCCACATATTCCTGAACATACTTTTCCGAATGGACTTATTTCGATGAATTCATTCTTATTGCAGTACCTAGACTGCAATGATTAGACTACTAACGCATGACCTCTGTGGAATTGTGGCACTTGCTTAATTTCAGCAATTGCTGCACTTATACATCGCTCGTTCTTATCACTATAAAAGTCTAAGTGTTTAAACATTTGCGCTTTAAATTGCAAGACTTTGAAAAGTGCTGATTAATGAAAGATAAATAGCACTTCAATCATTTAAATATGCTACACTTAGAAAACATATATAAAGATACAAAAATATTGTGTTACACGAAAATACTAAAATATCTAAAATTATTAGAATTTCTCGAATCTGTAAATTGTAAGATTAAAATCGTGGAAAATTCGAAATATAGGCATCCAAAATTAATGAAATTTTTTTTCTAAATAATACATTAATTTATAAATCAAATATTTCTAATAGTATTATCCTTCTAAGCAGGATATTGCAATATCCTTCACCATTTCGTTTAAACAACGAATTTTGCAAAGAAACTTTTCATTAAGATTTCGTCTTTATAAGATGCTTAAAAGGTAGAAATTGATTATATTTTAAACAATATTCAATTATACCATGAAACGCAGCAATGATGATAATATTTTTCTTTGTCTTTTATCTTCACTGGGATACGCGCTATCACAATCTCTTTAAAACGCTGAAGACTAGTGATAGTGTAACTACACAAAAATCGTCATCCGTTGCGTCACATCACAGCTGTACGTCTTCTTAGATATCGATTTGCAGCAAACAAATACGAGGGCAACGTACCGATAATATTACAGTAAAAGAGATTGTATCACCTTATTCTTGGTGCGATCGCTGACGGTTGTGTTTCTGGCCAATCATCCGTTTAATGTACGGTGCAAGGAACAGGTAGAATAGGAAGAGCACATGTCCGCAATAATATACACTGCCGTAAACTTGATTATATCGTGGATACGAGAGGAATACGAACGATATGAGGGCGTATCCCATGAAAACAAAGCTGTAAAGCTTCAGAAAGATCCAAGCGAGTAGACGCGCTTCCCATCGTGTTTTTAATAACGTTTGCACTTTCTCGCTGTTCTGTAGCGCTGGTCCAATCTAGAAAAAGGAGAGCCGGAAATTAGTTTGAAACTAGCAATTAGTCGAGTTTCTCTGTTTACGAGTCACAAACGCATACTTACATCTCGTTCGAAGTACATTATAATAAATTCCATGAAGAAAGAGTGATAGTAACCGGAGTGAAAACCGTGCCAGAGAGCAAGGAAGAGTAGCGTCATTATTTGGCTGTATATTTTTGAGCCGAGAAACTTCAATCTTTTGTAGATGTACTCGGCGCACCAGTGATTAGTGTTTATGTTAAAAGAGAGAATGTAATGATTGAACTGCGTGGAAGTTTCGAATGTTCGCAATTTAACATTCGCACAGCCGTCCCATTTAATACGACCCTCCGAGTCTTTTCCATTGTGCGTCAGACCGAAGGTAATACACACCTGAAATCGTCGAATAAATAGGTCAATAAATCGCGATTTGTTGCGCGTATAGAAAGTGATGAGCGTTACAAAGACATATTTCAATTATATACCCCTTCGGTAATCAGCCAGACGCTAACATATTTGTAGAGATTGATCCGGCCCCACAGGCCTATGAGCAAGCACTTCTTTATTAAATTTAGTTTCTGGAATGACGGTTCAAAGAGATATTGATCGGAGACGTAAAGTGTTCCGATCTGAAACACCGCCACATATATGAATCCAATAAAAGCGCGCGACAATCCCACCGACACGCAATCTGGTAGCTTGATGGCGCCAGTTTGAGGATCCTAAAATACAAAGAGTATTTGTGTGCTACTTATCGAAATAAGGTCACACTTTTTGTTTAATCGTGCAGTTTACAGCAGTTTAATCATGCTGTAAACTGCTGTAAACTGATTAAACAAAAAATGTGACCTTACAGCAGTAATTAGAGATAAAACTCGTAATCGATTTCGATAATAAAAAACATATTTTTGCTAACGTACACGTTCTGCCAGCCGACCATTGACGTAATCCAAATAACGTCGCATGCTGAACTGTGGCCCTATTAGAAATGCGCCGGGAAAGTAAGCATACGCCGCAATCTCTAGCAGCGACGGTCGTTCCTTCAAGGTTACCTGCTTCTGGCTATCAGACAGTTCCGCCTACAATATGATCAGTGATTGTTACGCCGCAAGATGAGCGAGATAGTGAAATTATGAAAAGAAATAGCGTTCGTACGTCACGTTTTTGACCATCCCATAAATTAAATGCAAGTCCTATTAACCTAAGGGTCAACACGCATTGCGGCATTGTCCATTTTATATCGTACTCTTGGGTACTGGTAGTGTAATAGCCTGTGTTGGAAAATAATATCATTAAAATACTTTGTAGCCCCGAGAGAATCGCTCGAAAGGAAAAAATGTAAATTTATGTATATTAATATATTAAAAAAATGTAAATTTATGTATATTAATATATTAAAAAATGTAAATTTATGTATATTAATATATTAAAAGAATAAATAGCAGAAAGAATAAAGCACTATTTAAATAAATTAGAATTTAAAAGTTATTTATACTTAAAAGTTTTGTAATGAATTTCGTAATAAATTGAAATTATTTTTAATTATTTTAATTTATGTAAATGTTTGCTTTTTCAACAAATAATCAAAAAAATGCAAAATAATGTAAAATTAAAACTCATATAATTAATTCTTTGTTTCCATCATTATTCTAATATTTTATATATCTTATTGGAATGCAAATCTAATTGTAAACTGCAAACAAGATCATTTGCAGCTAGCAACGAGAATTCGAACAATAATACGGCAATAAATACGATCAAATTGCCTTTTTATTTGCATATTCTGTAAATTGCAACGATAATATCGCTATCGTTACGAGTATCATTCCGCAGTCATTAGACGATACGTTATACTTGCGCAACGACGCGCAACGATAGCGCCACGATCGTTAGAAAGTTACAGAGTAGACGTGTAGAAGTTGTTCGTTTTGATAAGAAAAATATCTTCTGTATACTTTACCATAAAGTAGATACATCATGTTGAAGAGAAACGTCACGATGACGGATAGCCCGGTACTGCCGAGAATTGTCAAAATTAGATACGTGGCACATACCGCCGTTGATGAATGAAGTATGTTACAATCTGTGAATCATAATTATCGAAGTTATTTTTATAAACAGACAAATAAACAGACAAATAAACAGACACTTGTAATTTGTGTGCTATTCTTCGCAAATAAAGAGATATTGTTCAATCAAATTACCGTAATTCCAATAACCAATTGACAGACCGCATGCTATGAAAAATAAGTGCTGACGAATAGGATCTTTGCCGTACAGCGTATATCTATGAAGAAGAGCAACAGGAAACCCTGAAATCAAATAATTAATTTTATATAGTCGCTATTCTTCGCATTATTATAACTTATTATCAATTATTTCAGTAATTTCCGTGTTTTTTCTATTTCATTATTTACGTATATTAATTTAAAGCAAGAGTAATAAATTTTATAATAATAAAATATATATTGTTATCAAACTAAAAACAAACAAGACTAAACTCCACTTTATCCGATTTATAATAATTATGATCATCTAAAACAAACTTTATAATTAAAAAACGACAATAGTTAATTGTGGAATAAATGTAGCGAATAAATTTTATATCTAGAAAAATTTTAATTATGCGATTGTCAAAAAATAATGACGTATATACTTTGTGTATACGTTTTCAGATTTATCTGTAAAAGAGATTATCTCTTCGATATTTTATCTTCTAATAAATATTAGTTGCATGTGTGAGAATAAAATTTAGAATAAATAATTTTAAAAATTAGCTTTCTCAAATTTTAGCAGATAAAATATCGAACGAGAAATAATTATACAAAAATGAGATAGTAGATAAATCATACCATTCCTGTTCAAGTCATTGATTCTAATTGCAAACAGAAATTGTGATATTCAACAAAAATTTATCTATATCTTTCTTTTGCATTAGAAATCACCTCTTTATCTTTTTTTCACATCATAATTTCTGATGCCTTTAATTATCCTTTGTTTCTCGTATGTTCGCAAACATTATTTTTTCTATCAACAACACTCAACGCTATCGCAAAAGTGATTCATTTATTCGTGTGACACATTTAAACTTAATTAACTTTGGACCGAGGAACAGAGGCAGAGTTTATTAATATAAAATAGACCGCACCTGTTAGTCAGTAATGATATATAACACAAAAGACTTATGTAATACGACGCATCGTAAATAAACACATGCATACACACGCACGCGTGCTTTTTCTCTCATCATTCTGCTTGTATGCCAAGTAAGTACATAATACAATCACGCGTCACTGAGCTGAAACGAGTGGTTGTCAGTTTGCTGTAAACAGAATAAAGTATAAATGTTTCCCTGTACAAACGCACGAGATGAAACAATGATAGCGTCATCGTCGCGTTGAAAAAACTGAAACTCGCGTCCGCGCACATGCTTCGCAACTCGTCGTTAAAGCGAGATGCAGTAGCTAAAGAGCAAAAGCGAGTAGAGTTAACGATTAGATGAGTAACCTTCATAGGGACAATTACGCTTATAGATTACCATTAACTATGTACACGATGCAACGCGTAGCGGAACAAAGCGAGGGGATGGGGGAGGGGGGGAAGGCGATCTCCCAAAGGGGATATAGAATGGAGTTACAAGGGGGATGGTTGCACGTTGGAGATCAAGCGGAGTTATGAATGAACGCGAATCGATTTTGTCAGAGTAAAACTTGCGACAAAAAACGAGGCAGACGTCGAGAAACAGACATTCGCCGATGAAGGAAAATGATTTACCTAGCAAAATAGAGACGAGGAGACGCAGCGCGGCCTCCGGTGCACCCACCAACGCCGACAATCTTGCCAGCCCACCCGGACTGTACGCCGTGCTGTCCATGACTGACGATAGTGCGTGGCCGCATGCACAGTGGCGTGTCGAGTTTCACGGCAATTCCTAGATTCTCCGCTGCTATTTCATGGCCGCGGCTCCGGTACTTATTATCAGCGCGACAACCGCCACCACGCGCGCGTCGACCGTTTACTATCAAGCTCGCTCGGAGTGCTTGGAACGCCCGCGGCCGCCGTGATTAACCTTCGCCACCGTCGTCGCCACCATCACCACCGATCGTCACCACGTCTGTTGCCGCAGCAGCAGCGGCAGCAGCAGCAGCGGCAATCTTCACATTACAGCTGTTCCAACGTCGCTGTGTGCGACACGGGGTTGGGATGCGATGTCGTACTCGAAACGATAGACGATACGATTATCCGCGAGAGCATCGTTGTTCATGCGAAAATGGATTAGGGCAATGGATGACAATCGAGATCTCGCAGTCTAAAACGTTTCGAAATACCGTGAAGCTAGCCCTGCGACCGCAACTTGCAATATATCGCAATTATCGCAGTCAAACGTGCCAACTGGCGCTGACTGCCAACCGACTGGGGCTAACTAGGCCGAATCGAGCTGTTCGGGGCGGTGCAGGCGACGGGGGTTGATGACGCGCCGTGATTAGATTCGAACGGCGTCGCGACGACCACGACGCCGGCGACTTCGTCTTGAAGGATCGATCGAGCGCGGGAAACGAGGGAAAAATTGAAATGCGTCGTTGCTGCAGCGTCGCCGAAGGTCATTTCATTTTTATCATTCTTATATCGATTGCACGAACATCGTTGCGATGAAAAATTTCTGGCAAAATGATAAGCCGCTTTTTTTTTCAACGTTACGTTCACCTTTGTAATTTGTAATCTGAAGATTTTCAGGTTAGATAAAAAACTATGGATAAACATCGAGCGTAGAGAGCACGCTTTCTCTTCGGACTCAAACGCGGAGAAAACGCGCATGAGTGTTTCTAATCACTTTCACTCACTCTTACTCTCATTGTGGAGTGAAATTCTGTCGCTGGCCGATAAATCATCTGGAGAAAAGTGAGATTTGCTTGATTATCCCCGGATCGAGCCAAAAAACATGACGCGCTGCCGTGATATACACGTGACACAATGCTGCTGCGTAAATAAGCATATGCGGGAAAGAGGAATGACAGAGAGTACGTACAGAAAATCTTTTGCATTAATCACAAATTCGTCTTATTTCGCGAAATAAACTTAGGTAACATCATAGCGTAGCATTGCGGGTACGCGCGCATTTTGCACACCCGCACATCCCTTGTAAACGCATTTATCTATCACAGAATAAATATGGTCGGAAGACCCGCGACGATGGAATAACGCGAGATCGCTATTTACAAAGTACGACTCTTTCCATGATCGTTTTACACGCGGCTACGCACACGCATACACACACCTGCGTATCTGACGCACACACTTGATATCTTAAACTGCTGTCTCGTCTTGCGAAATTGTTGCGACTCATTTTTCTCGACGTATACAATGTTCCTCGTATCGGAGAAGCGTTTAAGAATTCAAAGGTATTTGAGGGCAGAACGTTCCACTAACTTTATCTAGCTGGAAACACTTTGCAAAATACATTGATCCATTTTTTGAAAAAATAGCATTTACGTCAAAGCAAAGATTGTTATTGAAAAATATTAAGTATGTATAAAAAACTATATGTATATAATAAAACTAGCATTGCACAAATATATATAATAAATTATATTCTCGTGTATATCATTTAACGATCTTCGCTTTGTGCGTAAAAAATTTGCTTAATATCAATAGTAATAAATAAATACATTCAGGTATTTACGTGAACATTCAGATTGAATTAGTCTAACAAATAAATTTTCCTTTTCTCAAGTTCATCAAATTTGGCACTTGAAAGATTTTTTCAGACTGATGAGCAGCAGATTGGTAAACCTTTGTTACACATTCCGCAATGTGAAATCGTCAAATCAATATCTCGAAGTGTTTCACCGATCCGTTGCTCGGTTAAATCTCAGTTAAATCTTTTAAATGTTCAATTACACATAGATATTTGAGGCATTGTTTGAATTCTATTTTTATACGATAGAGCTTGTAGAGAGAAGAAAAGTAAAAATAATATCACATGACAGTCGAAGTTGATAATCTATGTGTGTCTTTCCTCGTGTAAAGAACCTTATAATATACATTTACTCGTCACATCACATTACGAGAGCGAAAGAAAAGTTGAATGTGGAATATTTAATTAGAATAAAGCCTTTCCGGGTTTGTGTCTAGCTTCGTAAAATGTCCAGTCATATTCGCGCGCGCGTGTAGGCATCTGAATCAATAACGATAATCTTAATGTCACTATAGTGTAACGGCGAGTGCAGTAAAGTTCACAACCACGTAATGTTTATCGAACCCTCAAGTGAAACATGATGGAACGGGCGTGCGTTCGCCTAGAGATCGACAGGAACTTGCGAATGAGTGCGAAATATTAAATAAACCTTTCTTTTCCTCTCGTACGCCACGTGCGTACGCTTATTTCGCCACGGTTAAATTATGCAATATGCGTATAAAGAATAATATTGCAAGTATCGCGCGTCTCTACTCGTTTCTTTGAACATAATATCGAAAAACTTTCGGCAAGGCATACAATTCTGTTCCACAACGACACGGAATAGCGTGTGCGTATGTGCGTGATAGCGCACCATCATATATAAATATATGTATATGAATACATATATTTATATATGTATATATATATATCTGAATCTTTACCTTTTGCCTCAACGTGCTCTGTAATTTTTATACATTTACGAACAATACATTCTATTCTTCCAAATGGCCGAGACAAAAGGCTCTCCCTATAATATATCAATTTTAGATTCTTTATAATTTCTTATCTCTTAAATAGGCTTTTTTAAATCTTTCTTTATATTCATCAAATATACGTAAACAGGTAAACATATTTGATTCATTTTCCTTACGTACTATAGCACGCGGACATGCGTGATAAATACTTTCCTCTTATGTGGTCTTTAATCAATGTAATTTGTGTAAAGCGTCAGAAAGCAGAAGCTTCCGCTTCGTGATTGTATCATTTTCACTATGGCTTTGTGTGATATTTTGATCCACTATATCGCTCTCTCTCTCTCACACCTTTCCTCTCTATAAAAGCAATATTCAGTTTTAAAGCCAAAGTCTTTTGTGTTAGATTAACTGAACTTTAAGCGAGAATAGAAAATTTGAGCGATGATTGTACCAGCGCGCAAGATTTTATCGCTATTTCATTCTTTTTGATTTTTTTCTCATTGTTAAATCTTTTAAAAAAGCTTGTATATGTGCAAGGAAATATACTCTTAAATACGATCAGAATTTCTTTCGTAAAAGGCCAAGGTGTTGGTTTTTTCTTCTTTTTTTAAGTAAAATGACGCAAACTTAGACAAGGCAAACTAGAAAGATTAATTATTGCAATATTTTTAAGCCATAAATTATGGACTCATTATCATCTATGAGCATTTAAATAGAGATTGTGTAAATTTTCTTACTTTCAACATTCAATATTAGTCGCTTATCAAGAAAAAATACAAATGTGTGTATGTGTGTATGTGTGTATAGATATACGTGTATATATATGTTATATGTGTATACATATATATCCCGTCATTTATAAACCATTTGTCTGTTCAACATTTCTTTAAAAATATAATGAGATTTTAGCTCACACGCGTTATACGTTATTCTAATCACAATAATCTAATCACGATAACTATTTCTTAAAATTCGCGCATTTTGCCACGGAAGTCTTTTCTTGTTAAAGAATTATTCCTGGAACTTTATATTAAGACTAAATACAAGATACTATTCGGTATCGAATATCGGAAATTGAATAATATCATCAATTGGTACGTTAAAATTCTGGCCTTCTAACAATGTACGTCGCGGGAAATTAATTCATCATTTTTCACCCACGAATCTCTCAAGCTCGTTGCGTACGCGATGACTTCAATAAATTGCGATTTTGTTGCGTAACCTGGTAAATTTGCATACAATAAACATCCAACGACTTATATATTCAACAGAAAAAATTGGCAAGGTTTATTGCCAATTTACGGATTTTTCGCTTGTAAGCCGAATCCTGTATTGCATTGATTTCAAGTATTGCGAGTGTGCGTTCGTCCGACGAATATTATCGCTATAGAAGAAACACAGTTGAATATCTTTGATTTCTGCTTTTTGTTTTATCTGCTTCATCGTTAAGAGCACTGTGATAAGTTGTTTCTATGAGAACTATCCAAGACGTTACGCATAGAATTACGTGAACGAGAATCGCAATTTTCTTCAGGATTTGTACGTGATGATATAATATTATAATCCTCGCAATGAAACGATATATATTCATTCACAGATAAAGTCCTGCTTCTCCCGTGTAGGTGTCCTCGTAGAAACTTTCAAGCTCTTTCCTGCAAGCTTCGTATAAAATCTCGCGTTCCTCGAAACTTTCGAAATAATTGTATCCATTAAAGTGCCGAGGAGCTTCTCTTGTTTCAGTTTCGAAAAGTGTCGGCGAGTGATTCTCAGAAAGTTAAGCTAATCTTTCGGTTATACGAGAAATGGGGAATACTGTGTAGCCGTCTCATAAAATATATCTTCAAATATCAAGTTGATTAGTTGACAAGACGAAAGGAGGAAATGCGATAGTGTTGACATTTTTCGACACGAATAGAAGCGCGATTGCGCTACTTGACACTTTTCGCGACCTTCTTCGGCACTCGAACAGATATTTCGCACACGCTGCGTCAAGATGCGACCTACTGATAAATCAATATCAAATCCTGATTTTCCATTTGTATCGTTAAATATATGTGTGTATATATATATATATATATGTGTGTGTGCATGCTACTTAATTCCCGATTGCACTCTCCTTTAAATTAAAACGCTATACTTTCATTCGAAATTTCGGCAGATTTACAATTTAAAAACTAAAGGTTTACCGTGCTCGTCTGTTAAACTTAGATCCCGGGCTCCGTGCTGGCGAGGACGAGTCGCACCGTTGCGGTCGAATTGTTGACGCAATACGGCATTATTTTGCCGTGGGAGCAACTGTTGCCGGAGGAGCTGCTGTTAATTATGATCAGCAGGAGGCCCGAGATGGCGGCCAGGATGCCGGCGGTCATCAGACCGAGCGCCGGCAGCTTCTTGGACGAGAGTATGGGCCCCTCCTCGAGCTTGAGGTAGCAGAGACCGGGCAGAACGTAAGCGAGCGGCACCGCGGCGAGGATGCCGTTCAGCTCGAGGACGACGCCCAGGCAATCCGTCAGCATGGAGATCAGGTATGCCACTGATACTATCGTCAAAGTAATTATCAGGTACTTGCGGTCCGAGTTAGGCACATAAGCCTCGTGTCCCTCCAATTCGTCCGTGCCCTTGATAGCCGTCATGAGCACCTGAAGCCAAGAGATCGCTCACGTGAACATTGATACGAATAGCATTTCATTATACCGCAAATCGCATGCTTTTAATTCCGCTGCCGGTGTAGATCTGTAATCGCGTGTCGAGCGGCATTACCTCGCGCGTAACGAAGCATTCGATCGGAAAAGTGAGGAGTATAGTGCCGCTGAACATGACTCGGGCGAAATTCATGAGATCGTCGTCCCAGCAGTAGTTCTCCATGAGATCGCCCTGCACGTACGATGTGAAGGTGGCGTAGCCGACGACCCCGAAGATCGCGGCGATCAGGAAAGACGTGAAGAGGGACCAGTGCGTCACCACGTCCCACTTCTGCTGGGTCGCTCTCTCGATCGAGCCGTAAATCAGGAAGGTATTGTGGTGGCACATGAAAGCGAATGCCATTATGCCGACGGACGGCACGACCCCCGGCAGATTGGCGAATCTCCAGCTGTCGGCCCGGTTCGGACTGCAATTAATCACGCCTATGATTAATGCACGGTGACCTCGCGAGTGGTGAGCTGCAAAAATTTTCCGCAGTCTTTCCGCAAGAGAGATTCACGCTTACACCGTGGCGGCCATGGTGTCCATCCGAATGAAGATAGTGAGGAGAATGAAGCCGACGCAGACCAGCGAGAGGAAGGAGATTTTCGCGAGTCGAGCGACGTTTCGATACAGGCAAAGCGGAATGGTGACGCCGAGGGTTGCCAGAAAGATGACGACCTGTCGATGCGCGAAAATATTCGTCTCGTCTATTCCCGTCACTCGTATCAGGACCTTCGTCACCGTATCGCCGACGACGACGTTGTAAGAGACCATCGCTGCAACGATAAAAATGTTCCACGTGTCGCGATTACTGCTTTCGCTGCCGCTCGTCGGGCAACGAGCTAGAACGACCGGTCTAATTAATTGTTTTTCATTAATAAGATAAAAAAACCTGTACGCACCAATAAAAGGATAGATGAACTGCAACGCCGTGAGAATGTAGAAGCCGACGCGGCCGAAGCTCGCTCGCATCAAACCTTGGTAGCTCATCTCGCCGCAAATGTGTCCGCTTCGCACCATGAGAATTAATGAGTAATCGGTTAACGCCGCCACTAGAATTAATAGACCGATGCCGAGACCGAAGCCAGCTTGATGCAGAGCGTACGGTATTCCTGGAAAATTTCATATCGATCTCTAGCGCGATTTCCACTCCCGCGGATGTTAAGCAGGCATTGTATTTGAGGTATATTTTTTTTTTCTACCAATGGTCGAAGTCAGTTATTTTTCTCATTTACCGATCACGCCGCTGCCGATGATGGAATTGATGAAGTTAAAACTCGCGAGCGGCAAGCTATTAAATTTTCCAGCCTCCTCCTCTTCCTCCTCCTGCAACACGTGACGACATTATTACATCGTTGTTTATAATAACACAAGCGCGAGAAAATTAGCGTGACGACGTATCGCTAATCAGTGTCTCATCACTGTATTTTCGCATGCTCGTGAATATTCTGCGGACGTTCATATATTTCGGCGCTTATGAATATTAATGACGCAAGCGGGCGAAAAGAAGGCGTTCCGCGTAACGTCACATAAATATGCAAAACTGGTATATAAAGCTGTTGCGGATCAGCTGTCAGGGGCACGAGCGAGTGGTTAGCGTTTCGGCAGCTAGGCGGAATAATAATTTGGCGTGATATCGTAGCGAGAACGAAGGGAGCGATAAAAAGAGAGCTGTCGGCGCGGCAAACGGCCGATAGCGCACGTGCTAAGTCGCGCTCGCAGCAGGCCGTATGATCGTGCAGATTGGCGAATATCGAAAGTGCATCGACCCCGATTCGCCGCGGGAACAACAATACGCCAGGGATGTCATTAGGTCAACTAGCGAAGCGTGGAGCGTTTCTGTTCTAAATCCACTACTGTCGTCCGTCCGACGACGGATGAGAATGCCGCGTAATTTCGTAAACTAGAAATGAGCGCAGCAGGCAGCCTAATCGCGTTTTCTCAACAGGGTGGGGGGAAAAAAAAAACTAGCAAGGAACAAAATGCAGGGGAAATTAGCAGTGGTTCCTTACCCCAACTAATCGCCTCATGTCATCGTAGGATTCTTCGGATGCGAGACTGCCGCCCTATCGAATTTTCGAAAGAGTGCATCAGTAAAGGAATGATTGTGTGCAAATACGATTATAGAGCGTATCTGTATTATTTTTTTTTTTCGTTAAGCGACAGAAAACCCGATGGCAGCGCGCGTCCCTTATCCGTCACTCACACTTTCACTTGCACGGCGCGTCGCTCGCGCGGGTGGCTCGTGCACCCATACGAGTATTCTTATTGACAGTTTCAGACATCGCAATGATTTGAAAAAGAAATGAGAGAATCCGTGCGCGAGAAATCACGGAAGCGATCGGGAACGGACATATTGAACGAAATGTCATTACGGTAATTTTCGCGGCGGATAGAATCGGGAGAAAACGTCTCCTCTTCGGGATAATAGAAAACTTTAATTAAAATGCTAGTCTCGAAAACATCGGACGCGTCTGTCAAAAGGCCTGTAATCATGTGGTTTTTGTTTGGCTTTACGCGATTACACGGGAGAGAATTGCAAAACAGTAAAGAAATTAAGACCTTTCTACGCTCAACTGTTATTAAGAGCGCGATCTTACGAATTAAATTAACGGAGTAGCGAAAATGATACGGCCGACGACTTTCTCGTACTTTTTACATCCGCTAAAAAATAAATAAATAATAAATTACATCCCGCCGTAGTTAAATTGCTTTTAAATTAGTTGAATTGCTTCGAGAGTCACGCGACAAATTTGTTGCAATCTCGTTGAAAAAAAAAAAAAAGAACGTCTACCATCTGTTCAGTAGCGTCCGGTGTAATGCGCGAGAGATTTGTCCATTTCTCAAGCGTGACGAGTCTTGGAAAGACGAAAATGTCAGAAGAAACGCGATGTACGAAACATTTTCTTTCCATATTTAACCGAATTGCCGTATGAATATCGCGGTAGCCTCGCTCACGGAAATGGGAAGAAACCGGAAACCTCGGCCAACCACATCCGCCGTTACGCGGAATGAGACAGATCCTCACAACGGTCTCTACTCACGTCTTCGAAGTTTCTCTTCGCGTCGAGGATGTAGCTCTTCTCGTTGACATCGTTGGACGTGGCCATCCTGATCCCAGCTGGGCTTCCTCTCGCGTAAAACGATGGTCTAACTAACAGGAAAAATGATATAGTGCGGAAAAAAACGTGCGAACTTAAAGGGAGGGAACGAGGCTCGCGGGCAGGTCCGTAGACGTCTGATGTTCCGGCCTATCTTCTACCCCTTCTTCAGCTTCTCCCCCCGTCTCACCCCTCCGATACAATCTCTCCTCTCTATCTCTCTTCCTCTTCTTCTCCCTGGGATGCTCACTCCGCTTCCCTTATTCTCTCCCTCCGTTAACGCGCGCGCGTCACGCACGCGCGCACATATATTTTCCCCGTTTCGCCGATTCCTCCCGTTTTTCTCTCTCTCCACATTGCGAACTCTAATCACGCTCCAACCTCCGTCATCCTCCACATTTTTCGTCCCTTTTTTCCCCTCACCCCGCTTCAGCGGAGATCGCGCTCTCCTTGTCTGATCAATGTACGCCCACATATGTACCTCTTATTTATACCCCCCTCATCTCCCCTCCTTTCATCCCCTCAGCTCATTCACTATCGCGTCCTACCCTCGCTCGTTATCTTCCTGCCTCCTACCCCGATTTACCGGTCGCGTCCTATTTTCCTTTCCGTTTCTCGTACCTTCGCACCGACGAAATATTGAAGCGCGTACCGCGTTTATTGATTCCGTGACGGCACATATCTCATCCGCCAACTCGATTCGTTCACCGCTTAAGTTTCTGTATGCATTTGTTGCGTCAATTGCGTGCGATACGTAGGCCGCGCGCGCGAGCTTCCGTATCAGATCGTTATGACACACGCGAACATATAGCGTAGGCTTTCATGCTGATTATAAAGCAGCGGAATCGATGCCTTGATGCGTTCTCAAAATAGAAATCGAACGGTTCGCGATTTCTAATGCAATTGTTAAATAATTGTTAAAGAATTGAAAAAAAATTTAAATTGACATCGCTATTAGCATCTCTGGTTATCTATTGATAACATCTGTATAGAAAATGTAAACTTATTGACAAACTTAGGAACACGCGGATGTCACCATGATGCGGTGTGTATGAAAGATCTTAAAAAATTCTTAAGAACAGGATGTGTCTTACGATACCTTCCAAAATAGCATAGACTTTTACGCTGATTGTAAGCAACGGAAAATATTATATTTACATTTTTATACATTTACATATTCAAGTATCAATCTTAACTTATAGATTCTCGAAAAACAACTTGTCGAGAAGCTTCCACAGAGTGTAAGCGTTTTATTATTCGTTACCAATCGCTGTCAAGATAACGAGAAAAATGACATTTCAAGATTTCGTTATGTTTCACGCTTGAAGGAAACAATAAAATCAGCAGGAGTTTTATTCCCCGTCCGATTTAACGTGCGCGAATTTCTATCATTTTCAATATCATTTCTCACGATAGGATAGTCCGTTAACGTAACAGCTATCGACGTTTGCGTATCTTTCCGTCAACAGTCGCTTCGTACGTTCAGTTTTATCGGAAATCTTCTATCTGCACAAGAAACTTATACAAACTTATTCCAGATATTGTCTCTTGCATCTTAAATGGCCTTTTATAGTAGCGGTCAATGAAATGTACTCAGAATTCTTCGAAATAACCTGTTTTTGATAAGTACTGCAAGGGTGGGAAGAATTAAATTAGGTTTTAAGAAAAATTAAAATTTAGCACTAACATCCTGCAACGGCTCTTATCGCCATTTCATTATATTTCTCGTTTGTTAACATATGGAGCCTTTCCATTATATGTATTTTAAATTAGGTTTATTTGGGTATATATAGATAATTAACACGAGCTAGGAAATTAGTTCACACTTATTTTCAAAAAGTGTCGTACAGTTTATTTATAAAAATGGTAAATCGCCGAAAAATGACCGAAAGTGAAAAATCACAAATATCACAAAATATTAGTTATTATTAAAAAATATTAATAATTGTTATAATTAATTATTTGTTTCTATAATTGTTATTGTTATACGTGTGAAATACAAATTTATTAAGCAAGTATTGTTTCTATTGTATATTGTCCTATTTTTATAGATATATAAAAATATATTAAAACAATTCAACTAAAATGTTCTAAGCAAAATTATGAATCGTGTGTGTTAATAATGCCCTTTAATATAAATTTTACGATTTAGTACAGTACTTTGCTTCAGAGTTTAAAGAAAACAATAATTTCGGTGAGTACATTTCATTGACCGCTACTGTATATACTCGGTTTTAAATTGAAATAGAAATACCAGCATACTCCTGCATGTTTTTCATTAATATACTGCTTTCATAAATATTTAAAATTTAATAGATCTATTGTTGCCGAAAAGTCAAATCGAACTTCTCGGCATGTTATAAAATTATTCACGATGCTCAAACAAACACACATTAACAAAGTTTATTTCAAATTAAAACCTTCATTATTTAATTATTGTTTTTGTTTTTGCAACATGATTGACTAAGAGTGGTAATATTACTATAGTCGTATGTATAGATTACATCTCTGACACGTGATCAGTTCCTATCAGACAGGCGAATATTATGCGTGCCGCGTAAAAATATAAGATCCGAATATAATCTAAAAAATGATATATTCGTTGATGACTGTTCAATATTCGTGTTTCATTTGCAACATCATCTTTTTCCTCTCTGCGACACGTTATATCAAATTAAAATCTGTACATGATATTTTTCACTGATAAGCAATGCAATAAGCTAAATGATAAAAATTACGTATCACACAATATATTTTCTATACGTTGAAATGCAAACAACAAATTCAATAAATTGTGAGTTCATCATCGAGACGACTAGATTGCATTATTGTTACGTTAAAAATATCTGGAAAGCAATTGAAAAATCTCTCCCCTTGCATTCTAAATAATGTTGTGGCACTTACATGCGCTTGGGAGAGTTCCGTGCTGCGATATTAATCAATCTCGCACCGCAAACGAGGAAAATGTGACGGCAAGACAAAAGATGCGACCGCAAAACCCTGTAGAAAAGCCTAATGGAAGTCGTATCGCGCGTATTTGAAACTGCATTGCTCCTACATTGTAAAATCGAAAGTCAATTATACAGTTTCCGCGTCGTGGATATCGAATTCGATAAAACATGATCGAAACAAAAGGAACGGTTTCTCGCTGGATGACCGTATTGACGCTCACATACCCTCGAGTTTATCGGTAATAAGCGGCACGATGATTCCTATTCGTACGAAATTGGATTGGAATTTTTACGCAATTCCATCCGCGTGATGCACATCGCTGCCGCCGGCACATCGCTGCGAACGCGCAGCGTAAGTACATTCTCGCTGAGACTCCCGGATATATTAAATCGCAATGTCTCAAGAAAGCCTCGACGGGTCCTGACAAGGCACCACCACCCAACCGTTGTTCCCGGAAACGGCGGGACCTATCGTCGGCGCGGCGGCTGCGGTGGCCGCGCTCGTCAGCGCCCCGTTGATCCTCTGATCCTTCATGATTTGCAATTGCCGCTTCAGGTTGCGGTACAGCTGCACCAGAGACTCCTGAAACGTTAATTGCGATATTTCTCACGACTGACGATTTTTTTTTTCAATTTTCTTAACAGACATCGTTAACTGACGTGATGTAATGTTTCGGGCTAAATATACACAAAAAGTGGGAGAGAGAAAAAAACCTTTTCGTCTTCTAATTGCCGCAGCTCTTGCTGCTGCGTGAGGCTGTCGATGCTTAGGTCCTTCAGCATTTCGTTCTTGTGCTGGCTCAACAACGCTATCTCCGTCTGGACCTTGAGATATTCCTGCGCTATCTGCTTGTGTTCTTCGAAGATCTCGCACGAAAGCTTGCACGTGTCGTCGGGCGTGAGAGGTCTGAGGTCGGCATCCAAAAGGCGACAAACATTGCCCAGGTCTTCGCTCGTGGTGCTGCTACCTGCGGCATCGCATTGCAAGAATTTATTACAGACGAATTCCGAACATTGTCCCCGTATTCCGGCTGCAATTGAATGTGTTAATAAATGTGATGACGTAGTCCTAGATATACAGTTTAGTACGCGATACGCCTTCCAGATTTCTCTCGGAGAGTCGCGTTATTAAAATTATTCCTCTCCGACACTCGTCCCCGGAAATGTATCTTTCTTTAAGTATGCTTCTAACAATCGCCTCTCAGCATAGACACAATTCTAATGAATATGTACTAACGCAGTAGGACCCAGCAGCGTTTGAGAGTGTCGGTGCCGACGATCTCTGGATAGTCGTCGCACATGTCGATCCACCTGCCGCTCTCGCGCGAGCCGCAAGTTACCTCCGACGGCAAGTTAACGTCCGCACGATTATCCTCCGCGTCGCCGACAACGCGGCCTTATCCCGTCGACATAATTCCTTCGCTCGGTTCCGCGCGACTCAGACTCGGGGCCCTGTCATAGGTGGGCCCTCGTCCTCGGCGAGAGCAACGCGAGAATCGCGTCAGCGATGCCAGAAATTTCACCGGGACCGAATGCCGAGCGGTTTCTCGCGGTTAATCGCGGCGATTGTCGCCAACGGCTTGTTCAATGGAATGGATCCGGGAATGGCCGTGTTCGAGGGATCAATTCCCGGTCGGATCGATCGAATGTGTCCTCGATTAAAATCGAGCTCGTATTGCGCGCTTGGCGACCTGGCGATCGGCGGGAGGTGCTCCTCCGTAGGGAGTCGGCTCTCTACTAAACAAACGTACGTCTATATTGGGGATGCTGACTCAGCCACACCTGCTTCTAAATACCCCCCACCCCGACTTCGACGAGGAACGCCGCGGAGCGTATACATGAGCCAAGAACAAAACGCGCGGCTTGATTCATCCTCGAGAGAATCTTGTGCCTGATTTTTTTTTATTCGCCTCGTTTTGTCGTCGTTGTCGTCGTAGTTTTCCTCCTCTCTCTTTCTCTCTCTCGTGTCCGCCTCCCCACGCCGCTTATATCGCCTTGTCTTCTTCCTCTTCTAACGTTCGTCTCGCCTCCTCGCATTCGCGACGGCCGTCCTCTTCTTCGTCGTCGCAACGTGCCAATCAAAAGCGAGTCACACGTCCTACCGATTAGTCGTCAGTTAAATTTAGTGCACGCGCACATCGTGGCCGCTATTGCGGCTACACGGGCCCTTTGCCAGGGTACACCGGCGAACTCCGTCGATCGACGAACCCTCGATGAATATAGCATGCCGAGCTCATAACTTGTCCTTTCTTGTTGCCGTCCGAGCGCAT